TAAATAGGTTTTATTACTAACTTAATTATATTTTATTTTTTTTCCTAAAATAATCAAAACCAAAAATAGGTCATGTAATTATTTTCATTAAATAATTTTATTAGTTAATTAATTGCATATTTAATCTAGAAAACTTATTTCTTTTATTAAAAACAACAAAAAAGCAATTCTTCTTTTAATTAGGTTAGAAGGGTCAAAACCATAATTTCTCATTGATCTAATTTTTCATCGCGCGCTTTATTTTTTTTTATCCCAATTATTGTATCTGCCTACAGTTTGTATAGTTTAATTAGGACGTTTATTTTATTTATCGCTTTATTTTCAAAAGGGTTTGTTTTTGGCTATGTAAATACCCGAAGCCTTGTAATAGCGTAGTTTAATTTCCGCATTTTAAATTCCGCAAATTATTAAATGTTAGATGTATGATAATAGGATGCATGACAAGAATGTATGATTAATTTTAAAACAGTTAGATCACCCTAAATGTGCAAAGATAAATAAACTGAAATTGAATCATTCGCACATGCGCACTCCTAGGGTACACTTTCACTTGGTTGCCTTTGGTAAACGGTCATTGAGTATAGGATGTTTTAGTGGTCATCCTTTTTGTCTAAACAAAGATCAAAGTCCCGATTCGGAAAAGTTGCCTCTGAATGGTTGCCTCGGAATTGTTACCTCGAATAATTAATCTAAGACATTAGGGTTATTACTAAGACGTCCTAACATTGCTTTAGTGATCGTACGTCCCTTTCGAATTGACCCTCAAAACTCCAACGACGGTGCTACCTACTCACTAATAGTATGATAGCATTGTCTAAAGGAAACGAACATAGAACGATTCTTTTTTCGAGTAGGTAGATTAGCTCTTAAGTACTTGCTCAATCCAAACAAATTTTTCACACTTACACTCCTTTACAAACAAAGTTTTCAACACTTCATTACAATCTTGAAGACAGAAGCAAGAGTTAAATCAAAGTCAAAACAAAAAGTTTTTCAAATCATGCAAACACAAAGAAAACAATTTTGAAAATGATGAGCAAGTACCTAAGATCCCGTAGATAACTACGGATAGAAAGGGTGCTAATACCTTCCCTTTCTATAATCTACCCCCCGTACTCAAAAATATCTCGAAAAAGGAATTTTTCCGTGCTTTTTTCCTTTCCTTGTTGGATAAAATAAAATACAGTGGCGACTCTTGCTTACCGCGACATTTTGCGAAAACAAACTCAAAACGCAAACCAGCAAATTCCTTAAAAAATAGGGAAACACGTCCCGGTTCTGGCCACCGTATCACAGAACTGGCGACTCTGCTGGGGAATGAATAAGTGGGGTGTACCTTAGGATTAGTTCATCATATTGTTTTCAATTGATTGATCAAGCTCAACAGTTCTGGGATAGTTTGGACTTTCAAGCATTTGAAGACATCCTGGCACTCCTCATCTACGTCTTGGTTTTGTTCCCAAATCCTGATTCTTTCGTCGATATGAACGCAGTCAAGATTTTCATGTCTCGTAACCCAGTGTCTACTCTTCTAGGTGACATTCTACATGCTCTCTATACTCGTACGCTTCGAAGAAGGGGACCCTCTTGTGTTGTGCACCGCTGCTGGCGAGGTGGTTTATTCCTCACCTCCCCAAATTTGTATTGAAGAATGAGGAAGGTATGGGTTGGGCTTACAGAATCATGTCCATTGCTCATACGGACATCCTTTGGAGTACTAAAGATATGGAAAAGGTAGCTGCCATCGATTGGTGTGGGGAATACCCCAATGTTCCATTGCTTGGAATTAGAGGAGGGATAACCTATAATCCTTGTTTGGACTTACGACATTTTGGACGAGCTCGGAGGGACGGTCCTCATGAGCTACTGCTTACAGGCATTGTCTTTGACTTCAAGGGGATGTTGAGGGACATCGCTGCCGGTTTATACGAGCTTGGGACAGGGTTAACAGGTCTGATCCACATGATCTAGGAATGAAGATTTCTCTCTCGATGCAACCATATCTTCAGTGGGTTCGAGCCCGTGCTCAAAAGTTGGGGATGCCATATGAAGTTGTTTTGTCGGTGATTGTAGAGCATACTGGTGAAAAAGAGGTTCCTTATACGGTCATCCATCCATACATGCCTACTGATATTGGGGGATTGAAGAGGTCTTGGATCCAGTTAAGGGAAGAAGGGGATACTTACAGAGAAAAGTATCATGAGCAGGAATGGAAGATCCTGAAGTTTACAAGGCAGCTGGAGAACGAGAGGACAATCAACGATTATGTCAGCACGAAAGGAAAGACCATGGGAATTCTGATGTCTTTTACTATTTCTACTTTAGATTTGCTTTTCAGTATTTCTTCTGTAACGCCTTAAAGGCATTTGTTGAACATTGTTTCAATTTTTAATCTAATAAAGTGTGTTTTATTTTAGTTTACAAATTTGAATCTCCCTAAGTCTTTAAAATCATTTCATATGCATTCCATTCCCATGCACCTCATTACAGGTACCGTTACAGGTTTCTTATCTTCTTCGCTATTTATTTCAGCAACATGTCTTCTGAAACACCTACTGATCAAGCCATTAAGGCTCTTCAAGCTCAGAATGCTCAGTTACATGAAATGTTCTTGAACTTGGCCAATAGTCAACAAGATTTGAAGACTCTTATCTTGAAGGACAAAAGGAAGAAGAAGAAGAAGAAGAAGGTGGTCCTCCTGAATATGGGTCACAGATTTGGGAACAGGTTGAGACAAGAAGTTGATTTATCTCACTCATCTGGAGGGGGAGAGAATCAAGAGGAAAGGGAGGCCCCTAGCCCTGTTGTTTCTGACAATGACACTGACTTTGATGAAGACCAGTATCCTCCTGCCGAGGATAGGTATAAGCAACTCGAAGACCGGTTGAGCGCAATGGAGATCCAGAAGATACCTGGGTTGGACTTCGAAGATTTGGGTTTGGCATCTGGGGTGGTGATCCCACACAAGTTTAAAGCTCTTGCCTTTGCTAAGTACGACGGGGTCTCTTGTCCAAAGTTACACCTCTGCTCGTATATCAGAAAGATTCAACCATATACTGCTGATAGGAACCTTTGGGTTCATTTCTTTCAAGATAGTCTGTCAGGGACTCAACTTGAATGGTTCTATTAACTGGAAGGAGATAATGTCCGCAACTGGGAGGATCTTGCTGCTGCTTTTTACAAGCAATGCCAGTATAATGCCGATCTTGCTCCCACGCGTACCCAACTTCAGGGTATATTTATGGGTGCGAGCGAAGGTTTTAAGGACTACGCTTAGAAGTGGAGAGATATTGCTGGAAGAGTACAACCCCCTCTGGCTGATAGGGAGTTGGTGGATATGTTTCTTGGGACTTTGTCTGGTCCATACTTCAATAATTTGATCGGTAGTTCATCGTCCGGGTTTACTGAATTGATTATGACTGGGGAGAGAATTTAAGCTGGTATTAAAAGTGGCAAGATACAGAAAGGTGCTTCATCGAGCACAGAAAAGAAGCCTTTCAAGAAGGAATCTAGTTTCATTTACAGCTCAAGGAGCCAAAACTGTCCTGAACGCCGCCAAGCAGTTAATGCGGTAGTTATATCAAGACCTATTGTTGCCCCACAACGCAACAATCAGCAAAGAGTAGAGAGACCACAAAGACAGTATACTCGACTCAGTATGACTCTATCTCAAATTTTGCCGCAACTGTTAAAAACCAACTTGGTGATTCTGAAGGAGGCTCCAAAGAATCCCAGTACTACATCATCGCTGTATAATCCGAACACCCATTGTACTTATCACTCTGATAGCCTGGGGCATGATACCAATAACTGTTGGGCCTTGAGGAACAAGGTAAAAGATTTGATTGAAGCCAAAGAGATCGAGTTTGACGCACCGGAAAAGCCCAACGTTATAACGGTACCTATGCCCATTGGCGGAGCCAACGTCCGGCCAGCTAGGGCAGCTTCCCAGGCTCGTCCGCCTCGAATCACTTTCATGGAACTCTTCTCTCCCTCAATACGATGAACAAGACGACAACTCTTTCACTTTTCACTACCTCCAATGAACTTGAAGGAGGTTTGTTTCATTCTTATCCGATAGATTTAATTTTATCATAGACATTGTTTCTCTATAATTAGCCTCTTATCTTCTTCTTCAAAAGTTATACCCATAGTAAGCATTACATATAGCTTAGTTCTGTTGATTGTATTCTGCCCGCCAAGTGTTTGATGAATTGTTTGATTATACTATGTTTGTAAATGGATATTTTTGTCCATAGATTGGCCATGGCATCAGTATCAAATTGTTGTTGTTACCACCGTTTTACAACTTGCACACTAACTGTTCGATAAATTGCCTCAAGTCTGTTATTCTTTCAAAGAGGCGGTGGCACCATTTATGGCTCTCACTCACCGTTCTGCACTTGAGAGATCCCGCACTTTCCACTAAGTTTCTCCCTCAGTTTATGTACGATTATTTTCTGGCTACAAGGTTGGGTTTTATTTGGCTTCTACCATCTAATTGCTAGATTTTGTGGTTTGAATTACAACATTGATGGTGATCCTAAGTTGATATAGTGCTTGCTTTTCTTACCTATTTTAATTCTTAGCTGTTTTTTTATTCATATCCATGTTGATCCATTTTATGACTAGTTGTATGATATATTCATATTCGGATGTTCCGTTAAGGATAGAAAATGTTTCTGTTTGGTATCAGAATGCCTTAATAGAACTAATTACTTATTTTATTCATACATATCAGTCAAATTGCCATGTTTTTATTCTTTCTTTAATGAATTGGAGTCCTCATTATTTTCTATTTTATATTCCACATTCCAAGTTACTGTTACTTAAATTTATATAAAAACAAAAAATTGGCTACTTGGTCATGGCGGCTGCATCACTGACTTATTATGCCCATCCTAATTCAGTGTTCCTTCCTTTCCATTTCTCTTTACTTCAATTCCATATTTTATGTTACAGGCAAAATACTGCTATTCTGGTGCTGTTTCCCTCTCAATATGGTAGTAAAAAACACAAACCAATTAGAGGAATCCACTAATTTCACTTCTGATTTCAAAGCTAAAGTTAAAGCTTTGGATGATTCAAAAGCAAGTGTCAAAGGTTTGGTGGAGTCCGGTGTTTCAAAGATCCCACACATTTTTCATACTGGGAAATTGGACATCGGTGAAAACTCTGCTAGTGACTCCAACTCGAATGTTCCCATTGTAGACCTCCAAGACATACAGATCAATCCAACTCTGCGTGCGGAGGTAATTGACCAAATAACAAGTGCTTGCCATGAGGGGGGATTTTTTCAAGTGATTAATCATGGAATTCCCGTCACTGTCTTGGATGAAATGATTGATGGAATCCGTAGGTTTCATGAACAAGATGCTGATGTAAGAAAAGAGTTTTACACTCGTGATAAAAAGAAAAAAGTTGCGTATGTCTCCAATGGAACCTTGTTTAGTGGACAAGCTGCTAATTGGAGAGATACATTTGGTTTTGCTGTTGCTCCTGATCCCTTCAAACCAGAAGATATACCACCAATATGCAGGTAAAGTACTAACCATTAATTTGGATTCTTACTCTCCAAATCATAACCAGATTTTACAATTGTTACATTACATGGCACGTAATCATGTTAATTTGAATTATTTTAACCGTTGACGGGCTAATTTATACTTGCAGAGATATTGTGATTGAATATTCCCAGAATATAAGACATTTGGGTTTCAAGATCTTTGAGTTGTTGTCAGAGGCACTAGGACTTAGTCCTTCTTATCTTAAAGAGTTGAATTGTGCTGAAGGACTCTTTATTTTAGGTCATTACTATCCTCCATGTCCTGAACCTGAATTAACTATGGGCGCTTCCAAGCATACTGATAGTGACTTCATCACCTTACTTCTACAAGATCAACTTGGTGGTCTTCAAGTTCTTCACGAGGATAAATGGGTCAATGTTCCTCCGGTACACGGAGCTCTTGTTGTAAATATTGGAGATCTTTTACAGGTAAGGCTTTAAAGTTATTGTTCTCTCTTTTCATTAGATCGAAGCCTGGTATGAACTTTATGGATTATATGTTTTGAAAATCGATGTTGATAAGTGTGTTTTATATGTATCAAGTTTTCTAGACCAAAATAAATGAATTATCTATGCTTGTTGACATTTTTTAAAATAATCATGTTGGACTGCAGAACTCTATAACCAAGAACTTCTAAATTTTAGGAAGTATTTGATTATATTTTTACGTGTATGAGATAATATAGCGAGTGTCACTAATTTTCACACAGGAAAAAGTTGTAAGGCAAATTAACTTTCTTGGTGTAACTAGTTGTAAGACAATATAAACTAATGAAATTGTGAGATGAATAATATTGCAGCTTTGACAAACTGAAATTAATCGTACTTGGATTAGGAATGGCCAGAATAATGCAATGCAAATGTTAGCTTATGATTGATTTTTCCACTGTTTGGTGACTTGTTTAACTCCATAGAAAAACTTAAATAGCTAGCAAATTTTATAAGTGCTTGTTGACTAACTAATCATCTTATCGACTAAATAATCATTCATTTAGTAATTAACCATTTAACCAGTCATTCTATTCAATTCAATTGAATTGATTAATAGTTAGAAACATTATATATTATATGAGTTTCTAGAATTCACAACTAATCATCAACAACAGATAACACCATCAATCAACACAATACTATCCTTTGAAGCCAATGAAAATTTGCCCAGGTTTCATAATTTTTCTGGCTCCGCCACTGCCTATGCCCAAACATGATCAGGGAGTGAATGCAATTGAGGTTGATGAAGAAGAATCAGATATTGACAACAGGATTTACCCGACTACTGACAGTGGATTAAGCAATTGGACGGAAAAGGACTTCGTGCCCATTTCTTTTATTACACAGTAATAAGACTTTTGTTTTGAGTTTGTAACAGACAATTTAAAACTTTACGGTCCGGTGCCTTGCCCGAGACACCGTGGCTTTATTTGAGGGATTATATGTGTTATCTTCATATATCATCAATAAAAGCATTGGACGTTTTCTTGCATTACGAATTTTGCACTCCTTGTTTTTCTTTTCTATCTTGCAAAACAACTATTTGTCTTACACACACTCACATATACAGGTCTACATCCACTCTGGATCCCACTGATAACGACTCTGCTACTGCCAGTTATGACTTCGAAAGTCCGATCAACCAAGCCGAGGACGAAGGTGAGGATGATTGTGAAGTGCCTGGGGAACTTGCTAGATTGTTACTTCAAGAAGAGAGGGCCATACAGCCGCATGAAGAGCCAGTGGAAACAGTAAATCTGGGTACGGAGGAAGACAAGAAAGAGGTCAAGATTGGTGAAAATCTAGAGCCTAGTGTTAAGCAACGGTTGATTCAGATGTTGCGTGACTATGTTGAGATCTTTGCCTAGTCTTATAAAGATATGCCTGGTTTGGATACCGATATTGTGGTTCACCGCTTGCCAACCAAGGAAGATTGTCCTCCAGTGAAACAAAAAGTTCACCGAATGCGCCCGGAGATGTCTGAGAAAATCAAGGCTGAGGTTATGAAACAGTTTGATGCCGGTTTTCTAGCAGTTACTTCTTACCCGCAGTGGGTTGCCAACGTGGTCCCGGTGCCGAAGAAAGATGGTAAGGTTAGAATGTGTGTTGACTATAGGGATCTGAACAGGGCAAGCCCCAAGGATGATTTCCCTTTGCCTCATATCGATGTTCTAGTTGACAATACCGCACAGCATAAAGTATTCTCCTTTATGGATGGTTTCTCTGGTTACAATCAGATTAATATGGCTCCCGAAGATATGGAGAAGACAACATTCGTTACGTAATGGGGTACCTTTTTCTACAAGGTAATTCCGTTCAGATTGAAGAATGCTGGGGAACCGTGTCAGCGCGCCATGGTCGCTTTGTTCCACGACATGATTCATCATGAGATTGAGGTATACGTTGAAGACATGATTGCAAGATCTCAGACTGAAGAGGAACATCTCGACCATCTTCAGATGTTATTTGACAGGTTGAAGTTATACAAGCTGAGGTTAAACCTGAACAAGTGCACCTTCGGGGTGAGGTCTGGTAAACTGCTGGGTTTCGTCGTTAGTGATAAAGGTATTCAAGTGGATCCTGCAAAGGTGAAGGATATACAGGAAATGCCAGCTCCCCAAACTGAAAAAGAAGTCAGAGGCTTTTTGGGACGTCTGAACTATATTGCCCGATTCATTTCGCACCTGACCGCTACTTGTGAGCCAATCTTCAAGCTACTGAAGAAAGATCAAGTGGTAATATGGAACGATGAATGTCAGGCCGCTTTCGAAAGGATCAAAGAATATCTCCAAGAGCCACCTATTCTGATGCCTCCAATTGAAGGGATACCTTTGATCTTGTACTTGACAGTACTCGACAATTCGATGGGGTGCGTGCTAGGGCAGCATGACGAGTTTGGACGAAAAGAGCATGCTATTTATTAACTTAGCAAAAAGTTTACTGACTGCGAGACCCGATACTCGTTGCTTGAGAAAACTTGCTGCGCTTTGGCATGGGCTACTCGTCGGCTGAGACAGTATATGCTGACTCACACTACTCTATTGATATCAAAGATAGATCCAATCAAGTATATCTTCGAGAAGCCTGCCTTGTCCGGAAGAATAGCGAGATGGCAGATGATCTTGACTGAGTATGACATCCAATACACGACCAAAAGGAAATCAAGGGAAGTGTGTTGGCAGATCATTTGGCACATCAGGCAGTGGACGATTACCAGTCTATGAACTTTGAATTCCCGGATGAGAACATCATGTTGGTGACTGACTGTGAAACATCCGGACCGGATGAAGGACCTGAGGAAGGATCCTGATGGTCTATGTATTTCAACAGAGCTTCAAACGCTTTGGGTAATGGCATTGGCGCCGTGATCATATCTCCTGAAGGTTGTCATACTCCGTTCACTGCTCGATTATGTTTTAACTGCACCAATAACATGGCGGAGTATGAAGTGTGCATTATGGGTCTTCGAGCAGCTATTTACCTAAGGATTAAGTTCTTAAGTGTATTCGGAGATTCCTCTCTCGTGATCAGTCATATCAAAGGCTAGTGGGATACGAAGCACCCAAATCTTATTCCTTACAAAGAGTATGTGTTGACATTGCTTCCGCATTTCGAGGAGATAACCTACGAACACTTTCCCAGAGAGGAGAATCAGTTGGCGGACGTGCTAGCTACGATGTCTTCTATGTTCAAGGTCAGATTGGACAATGAGGCTCCCCAGATTACCATTGAGAGGTTGGACGAACCTGCACATTACTGTGACATTGAGACTGAAGAGATAGCAGATAAATCCGGGTTTCACGAGGTAAAAAGGTATCTTGAGGCTCAAGAATACCCTAAGGGTGCATCTGTTAATGATAAGAAGTTTCTGAGAAGGTTTGCGGCGAAGTTTTTCATCAGTAATGGTATCCTTTACAAGAATAACTATGATTCAACCTTACTGCGATGTATGGATAAGAACGAGGCAGAAAGGATTATGGTAGAGTTACATGAAGGTACTTTCGGGACTCATTCCAGTGGACACACCATGGCGAAGAGAATCCTTCGGGCAGGATATTATTGGTCCACCATGGAAGCCGATTGTTATCAACATTTTCGGACCTGTCAGAAGTGCCAAGTCTATGCTGATAAAGTGCACATATCTCCAGTACCTCTGAACGTCTTGACAGCTCCTTGGCCTTTTGCAATGTGGGGCATCGATATGATTGGTGAGATCAGACCGACTGCGTCCAACGGGCATCGTTTCATCTTGGTAGCGATTGATTACTTTACAAAGTGGGTTGAAGTAGCTTCCTTTGCTACTGTAACCAAGAACGTCATGGCACGGTTTATTCGGCACAATCTAATCTGTCGATATTGTGTACCCGAGAGGATCATTACGGACAATGGTACAAATCTCAACAATACGATGATCACCGAGTTCTGCAAGCAATTCAAGATACAACATCATAACTCTTCTCCTTACCGACCGAAGATTAATGGGGATGTTGAAGAAGCTAATAAGAATATCAAGAAGATTGTGCAGAAGATGATGGTGACATACAAAGATTGGCTCGAAATGTTACCGTTTGCTCTTCATGGGTACCGTACCTCAGCGCGGACGTCAACAGGGGCAACACCCTATTCCTTGGTATATGGCATGGAGGCCGTCTTGCCCATTGAAGTTCAGATACCCTCTCTTTGGATTATGAAGGATGCAGGTTTGAGAAAAAATGACTGAATTCAGACCCGACTTGATCAGTTGAACTTAATCGATGAAAAGAGACTCACTACTATTTGCCATGGTCATAAGTATCAAAAGTGGATGATCAAGGCATTTAACAAGAAAGTTAAACGACAAGAGTATCAAGTTGGGGATCTGGTGATCAAACGTATCATCATACCACAAGGTGATCCCAGGGGGAAATGGACCCCTACGTACGAAGGGCTATTTGTGGTTAAGAACATTTTCTCAGTAGGAGCTATGATTCTAACCACCATGGATGGTGACAACCTTCCTCACCCCGTCAATGCAGGCATAGTGAAAAAATACTACGCATAATCAAAGACCCGCTAGGTCGACTGGCCTAGGCAAAAATAAGGGCTTCCCAGCGAACCAAAAGGGTTCGGGCAAAAATAAGGGATGAAAATGAAAAAACTGTACACCCGGCAAGTCGAAAACCTGAAAAGGCGGCTTGGGCAAAAAAGGGTATCCCGGTGGACTGAAAACCAGAAAGGGCGGTCCAGGAAAAAATTAGGGATTAAAGTGTAACATTATGTCTCATTGGATCACCTTGCAATCAGACTTCAGTATCGACTATCAAGCTCGGACGGCGCCAAACAATCTGATCTAACTTCAACCAAGTAGCGAAGTGATGAGATGCTCGAGGACATAAAGGCAATAGCAGAGTTGGAACCTAGTGGGATTGTTCACATAGTTGTTTTTCTTTGTTTTGCACAAATCGTATAAACTCTATTGTTCGGCGGCGTTCTCTTACTAGGACGTCAGCCTCTTGTACAAAAACGCCTATTTACAGGCTAATTTCAAAATCAATACAATTCATTTTCACAAAGAAATTTCAAATTGTTTCCCTTTTTCTGTTTTGTTTTGCAAAAACGTCCAATGGTTCATTTTTTATATATGCATTTGACAATAATTGCTGCTCATAAATATTTACATACGAAACAAAAGACGATTACTCGTAATATCAGAAACAGAGGCAAACAAGAAATGTCCAAGCCTTACAGTTGCTTTATCCACCAGGTATAGGGATAGACCTAGTTGAAGAAAATGATTGAAAGTACATTGACTACCCGCAGAGTAAGAGAAAGACAGTGGTGTTAATTCTCCCCAGCTGAGATTCACAACCGCGAATGAGTCGACAATATTCTCCCCAAGCATAGTTTATCTACCATCAACACTGAAAAATTATCCCCAGCGGAGTATGAAAAATTATCCCCAGCGGAGTATGAAAAATTATCCCCAGTGGCGTTTGGAAAATTATCCCCAGTATACTCTGGAAGATTGTCCCCAATAGATTCTAAAAGATTATTCCCCGTGAAATCGCAACTGGAAAATCATCCCTATCGGAGTTCATTCCTTTCACAAACAGAAACTCAATCCCCAACAGAGTTTATCATCGCCGACAATGATAATTCATCCCCAGCCGAGGTTACTTCTCCAAATCAACAGGTTCTCTAGCAGAGTTTGACCTCCCTACAGGGTCATTTCCTCGTC